TCTAGTGCCCTCTCAGCTTTAGAACAGTCTCTTCCTCCTCCACTTACGGAAAAAAAATGTGCAGTAATGCTTAACAGTTGTGTAACCTGCAAGAGGTGATAATTTGATTGATTAATAAGTTTTAAAAATTAAATTCTTCTTTCTTATTCAAATGTATTCCAAATGGCCTGTGAGGAGATTCAGGTCCTGGCAACTCCAGTGTAGTTACCCGGAGGAAATGCCTACTGTATATATTTAAATTCATTTGCACTGATGCGACTGTAGGTTTCCCCATCTTTTTGGCTAAATCCTCTTCCATGGCTAGGGTATCTTCACTAGTCAGAGGAGGAACAGAGTAAGAAAAGCTGCAGCTGCTTCATAGTCTTTGCAGAAAGAGAGGGGGAGGACCTATAAAAAGGAAGGATATACACCTCCTGACTGGAACCCACAACGTGCTGATTTTTGCTTGTACAACTGTTCACATACTGTGCCTCTGTGGAAGTCCTAAAAGGGCAAGATTAGGGGAAGGGAAGTTGCTGGTAGTATCTCTTGAATTGCACTTCCCATGTTTGTGATGAAAAAGCTAATCTACCTGAACTAAATGGATCTTAAAGAGTCTGATTGTCATGGAGGTGTGAAAATGTTTCACTAGCTGACCCTTGAGCTCACTGTTCTCAGTTTGACTTACCTTACAGGGTTCTTGTGAGGATGAACTAGGGAGGGAATGAGACACATACAGCTTCTCCAACTCATTGAAATATAAAGGGGGCATATAATACAGTCTCTTCCATAAGAAAAATAACAATGTACAGATTATGTGATAGGCAGCAATTCACTTGAATAAGCCCAATACTTGTTTTTAGCTCTGTTTTGTGGTTTTTGGAAAACCCAGTTCACAAGAACCGTGGGAGTGCTTTCTCAGATGACAGCTCTCCTGTATTAAGGGACTTATTCTTAGGTAAGTATCTATACATTGGGCACATTGGACTTGATTTGAGGAACTTGCACTCCTCTACTTTGGAGAGCAGCTGCTCCCATCCTCCCTCATTGCTGTATGTTGGCTGTGGATGATGGGAATTGCAGTCAGACAGCAAGTAGAGAGCCACCGTTCTGCTTTGTGATCCCTTTTCCTGATAGCTTGCTTATATGGTTCAGCTGCTGCTAACCAATTCTAACTTCCTCAATTTCTGCAGCAGTTTAGAAAGTTAGGGTATAGCTGTATATAAGGTCTATAGTGGAACAGTGTTATGCCAGAATGTGATATCCAGGCAGTTTGCATTTCTAACAGAGAGGCTGGTCATGTTATGACAATAGCATAAATGCATTTTCCAATTTAACCTGTTAGAACAGCAGTGAAGTTTGGAACTCCATAGATTGTATCTCAGCTGAACTGTGAATCAGGTGAGTGTCTTAGGCAAGTTGTCCCTTCTGAGCCTCAGTTTACCACACGTATAGTTACAGAATAAAAATGAAGGCCTACTTTACAGAGCCTTACATGAAGCAAAGGACTAGAGTAGTGCTGCGGGTTGAACCACTGAGCCACTGGGCTATCAACTGAAAAATTGGCATTGCTTGTCCCCCTTCCTGTCAACCTAGCAGTTCAAAAGGTCAACTGAAAAATTGGCATTGCTTGTCCCCGTTCCTGTCAACCTAGCAGTTCAAAAGCGTGCAAATGGAAGTAGATGAATAGGTACCACCTCGGTGGGAAGGTCACAGCATTCTGTGTCTAGTTATGCCAGCCACGTGACCATAGAAAGCGTCTACAAACGCCGGCTCTTCGGTTTACAAATGGGGATGAGCACCGGCCCCCAGAGTCAAACACGACTGGACTTAATTGCCAAGGGGCACCTTTACTTTTACCATTGCATGAAATATATTTTGACTTGGGGGATAGTAAATATATGGCTATAGGTGATTTCTTCAAAGATTATTCAAGAATATTCTTCAGAAAACTTGAGAACAACTTATGTAAAGACAGTCTTCTGTGCAGCTACCAGCTCAGTTGGTTGATATTCCTACATTCCTTCTTCCTTCCTGTACTCTCATGAAAGCTGAGAGAATCATGTCTGCTTTCATTTGTATGAATGATAACTTCCATCCACCCAGAAGTTCTTTCTCTCTTTCCTTGGCCTTCTTGTGTCTGGAGTCAGGTCGTGCTGCAGTTCTTTATTCTAGTCCCACAAAGCTGTATGATCAGGTAGTGATGTTCAATATTGAATTGTATCCACAAAGCCTAAAGGGTTGCTGCCTTTTCCTAAGGTCTGAAGAAGTGGACTTATCCACAAAAGGTCACATTGAAATACAGTGCACCCTCTACTTATGGAATTAATCCGTATTGGAATGGTGGCTGCAAGTCGAAAAGTCTGTAAGTCGAATCTCCATTGACCTACAATGCATTGAAAACCAATTAATCCCATAACTGGCAGTTTTTATTCTATTTTTGTTCCATTTTGGTTTTTTTCTGGTCTGTAGGTTCATTCTCCGGCTGCAAGTCAAATCTAAATTTTGCAGCCAGAGAAGTCTGTAACTCGAAAAGTTTGTAAGTCGAGCCGTCTGTAAGTCGAGGGTCCACTGTACAACAATTAGTTTTTAAGGTGCCACAATGTTTTTGACTTCCTTATTTTTTAAATTGTTCTTCTGTTTTTATCTGATAATGCTTTCCATAATGCTCTCCATTCCAGTCAGCATTTGACAAAAGCTATTGAAAGTGTGCTTTTGTGGTGTTCTCTGATCCTTCCTAGAAACCTTCAGGTCTTGGAGATGATAATTTACTCCCCAGTGACTGATTTCATTGTTTCCATTAGCGTATGAACCGATGTACCACAGAGGACTGCCAGCATGAACAGCAAGCCATTACTTATCCAGTGTATAAATCTGTGCACGTGAGTATTCTCGTTCCTAGCCTCTCGCCTTTCTGTGGTGTGTTGTTGTTTATTAACGTTTGTTAAGACACCTTTTCAAGAAAAACTCTCAAGGCATAAGAAATTTAAATGCACCAAAATTAAAAGCAAAAGTAGAAACTATATACAGTAGCAACAACAACAACATGCTATCAAGTCGGTTCTGATATCCACTATATAAATCTACACCTTGCCCCATGAATGGGCTGTGTGCCTTCAAGAGAGAACCATTGTCCTAGGCTAGGAAACTTGTGGTTTATTTTGTTCCTTGAGGATACTATTTAACATACAACATTAATATTTGTTTCTTTATGTAAAATATTTTATAACCCACCCACTCAGCCTTTCCTCCCCTGGTCAGAGCAAAGTACAAAAAGTAGTTTGGGAAAGCCTAATATAATACAGAGGGTTTTTATAAAATAATAATAATAATCCTAAAACCACGTTTGGATAAGCTGACTTAGAATGTCTGTTTTGTCAGAAAATGCAATGTCAGGTCCGTTTCCTTGGGGTGGGTGTTCTATGGCCAAGAGGAGGAGGCTCTCTCCTGGTGGTTGTATGGTCTAGCAACCCTCCTTGGGGAAGAGGCTGCCCTGACTGTTTTAAAGCACAGGAAGGGTGATATCAGGAAAGATGCTCATACAGATGTTTGAGTCCCAAGCCAGGTAGGGCTTTGAAGGTAACCACCAGTACCTTGAATTAGACTTGGAAATGGATGAGAAGCCAATGAAGCTTACAATTTTAAGTAATGTGGTTCTACCTGGCTGAATCAGTCACATTTCCTGGTCGGCATTGGGACTGGATCATTGAAGGCGTTGAGTCATCTCCCAAGGCGGCTCCCTTAAAATGCACAGCAGTTATCAAATGAAGAACTCTCGTAGTCTGTATCCTTGCAACCAGCTCAGGAATGCTTGTGAATCAGCTGAAGTGGAATGAAAAGTACTGCTACAAACCGAGATCATTATTTCAGCAGGTGACAACATTGGACTGAAGATACCCAGACTTCTGGCCCTGCTATTTCAGGAGAAATGTAGTCCCATCAAGGAAAGCCTGTGTGCCCATTTCCCAAGCCAGAAGCCTCTACCTTGTTTGAGTCACATGCTATGTTTTTCACAAGATGACAGTATGACTATTTTCAGAAATGAGACCTGCAACAAAATGTTGCTGTATAGTCCAGACCACTTGTTCCCAATTTTTTTTGACTTGTGACTCCCTTGATTTACTAGCTGCTGGCTGTGGCTCCCCAGTACAGTAAGACTGGTATATCCATGGGATCAGTATCCACTGTTTGACTTACCTGCTGCCTGAAATGTAATTAAATAAAATTAAAAACTGTAGCCATACACCAGGACTGCTGTATCCATGGGATCAGTATCTACTGTTTGACTTACCTGCTGCCTGAAATTAAATTAAATTAAAAACCCTAGCCATACACCTTCCCAAGGTGTACTACCAGGTCTGGCCACTAGATGGAACCACATACTATGCTATACCCCTGTGGACTGACTTCTATGATGGAAGCAGCTTCCAGAAAAAGGGAGAATCTGCATTTTTGCAGGGAGTGATTACCAAGACTGGCCACTAGATGGAACCACATACTACTGTATGCTATATGTAGGTGGTTTAACTTTAAGGAAACACCCTTGTGGACTGACTTCTGTGATGGAAGCAGCTTCCAGAAAAGGGGAGAAGCTGCATTTTTGCAGGGAGTTGGGAGGCAGGGGAGGCTCTCTTGTGAACAGGAGATCAGAAAATCCAGTCCTTTGGCAAGACTGGGCCAGGACCCCCTCTCTCCATGCACGGACTTTAGCTATTTAGTTAGTAGGTTTTAATATGTATGTTATTTTATTAAGGCAGGGGAGGCTCTCTTGTGAACAGGAGGTCAGGAAACTCAGTCATTTGGCAAGACTGGGCCAGGATCCCTTCTGTTCCATGCACAGGCACCAGAGAAACGGCAAATACCGTATTTTTCTGTGTATAAGACGCCCCCATGTATAAGCACTCCCCACTTTTCTAACCCAGAATTAAGAAATCTAAGCGACACTTAAGAAGTGGAGGAGGAAAGCACGTATCAAAGCACTGCAAGATCACTTTGATCCCTGCTTTCCCCTTTCTTGCGAAGCCCACTTTGATCCCTGCTTTGCCAAGAAACTGGAGGGGGAAAGCAGGGATCAAAGCGCTTTGATCCCTGCTTTCCCCCATCTTGCTAAGCCCACTTTGATCCACTAAGAAAGTGGAGGGGGGAAGCAGGGCTCAAAGCGCTTTGATCCCTCTTTTCCCCTCCACTTGCGAAGTGGGCTTAGCAAAAAAAAAGGAAAAGCAGGGATCAAAGCAATCCTGCAGTACTTTGATCCCTTTCCCCCTCCTTACTTCCATCAATTTTTAGGCTAAAGATTTTAGGCAAAAGTATCGTCTTATACATGGAAAAATACGGTACGTATAGTGGGAGGGAGAAGGGAGGGGGAAACCAGAAGAGGATTCTGTGGTGCCCCTGGGTGGGATTCCCGGTGCCAACACTGCTCCAGACCTTGACAGCAGCAGCTCTGCCAGTGTTTGGGGGAAGGCCACTCCTTGTATAAGACGACCCTCAATTTTTAGTCTAAAGATTTTAGACAAAAGTATCATACATGGAAAAATACGGTAAGTACAGTTGGGGGGGAGAAGGTAGGGGGAAACCGGAAGAGGATTCTGTGGTGCCCCTGGGTGGGATTCCCGGTGCCAACACTGCTCCAGACCTTGACAGCAGCAGCTCTGCCAGTGTTTGGGGGAAGGAAGAAAGGGTAAAAAAAATCCCCCGTGCTATGCAGTGCTAGAGGGATCAGGGGAGGGGAGAGGTGGAATTGCTGGCTATATAGTGGGATAGATGTGTGGAAGTAGTGGAAAGGGGAAGAAGCGACTTTTAGGTTTTCCTTCCTCCAGAAACATCGCTATTTCATGCACAGTAAGGAGCCTATGTAAGTTGGTAGCCAGAGTTTGGAAAAGTTACTTTTTGGGATGATATCTCACAGAATCCTGTGGACAGAATAACCAATGGGCCTGTTGGCTGGGTATTCTGTGTGTTGCAGTCCAGAGAGAAGGGACTCTTTCAAGCTTTGGCCTGAACATCAGAAATGAGGGTATTGCAGTATATCAGTTCTGTCTTCAGAAGCCTTTATAACTGTGTTCTGCCTGATGATTTTGAGGAGCCTGTTACCTAAGCAACCTTTTTATTCTAATAATGTCTTGTCTTCAATTTATATTGTAGTCTTGAGGCAGGGGCTGCCATGCTACTTGTTTTTGTAAGCTGTCCTGTAAGCATTTTGGCTAAAGAATGAGAGCTCATTTCTTTCAAGCTTGGAGGTTCTGGAATCGGTAGTCCAATCAATCAGTCAGTTAGTCAGTCAGTCAGTCAGTCAGTCAGTCAGTCAGTCAGTCAATCAATTAAGCAACCTTTTTATTCTAATAATGTCTTGTCTTCAAGACATGCTACTTGTTTTTGTAAGCTGTCCTGCAAGCATTTTGGCTAAAGAATGAGAGCTCAGTTCATTCAGCCTCCAGAACTTGGAGGTTCTGGAATCACTAGTCCAATCAATCAATCAATCAGTCAGTCAGTCAGTCAGTCAGTCAATCAGTCAATCAAGTTGTTAACTAACATTTCCAAGCTTTCTGTTCATAGAAAACATCCTTCTCCCAAACAAAATCTCATTATAATTTATGACTCTTGCACGGAATGAGAGCTCAGTTCATTCAGCCTCCAGAACTTGGAGGTTCTGGAATCACTAGTCCAATCAATCAATCAATCAGTCAGTCAGTCAGTCAGTCAGTCAATCAGTCAATCAAGTTGTTAACTAACATTTCCAAGCTTTCTGTTCATAGAAAACATCCTTCTCCCAAACAAAATCTCATTATAATTTATGACTCTTGCACGTTCCTTCTAGTCAGTCAGTCAGTCAGTCAGTCAGTCAGTCAGTCAGTCAATCAATCAAGTTGTTAACTAACTTTTCCAAGCTCTCTGTTCTCCCAAACAAAATCTCCTTCTCGGTTTTCATTGTAATTTATGATTCTTGCACATTCCTTCTGTAGGTACATTTCTACCAGGTTCCTCCCTTCATGTTCCTCTATTTCACCGAACCTCCTAAGTCCTTGTGATGCTATGTTTGGTTTTTTTAAAAACTCCTGATTCACAAAACTGCAAATGTATTCATACCTGGTTTCCTCCTGCGTTTTTACCTGTCCCCATTTGGTCTTCTGACCAACAGACATTAGAGATCATAGGAATGGTATTACAGGCACGAGAACTAAGGCTTAAGAAGAGAGTGGCTTGGTTGAGCCCCACCTAGCAAGTGGAAGCCTTCTGGCTCACATTCCTTGCCACTGTCACACTCCTGTGTTCAATAGGCTAAAAAGCATATGTAACCACATTGTATTAATCTGTATTGATGTCATATCCATAAGATGATTTGTATTCCCCCTCTAGCAATTTTTCAGTCTGATTTCAAAAGCCCTCTGGAATTGATCACTAGTGAAACACAAGCGGAGGGAAGGAAGGAAGAGAAAAGGGATGGCCTCTCCTATTTTTGGCTTGCCTTATTCGCTGACAGTGTATGGCCCTAACGGATCACTCCCAAAGGAATATGAACCTTGGTGGAGAAAGAGTTGCTTGCTTTGAGTTGAAGTTTGACCCAGTGGTTCCATTGTCTAGCCGTCATATCAGCCTGGAGGCATTAGAGGCACATTCGCAAAAGTGACAAAACTATACAGAACATTTACCCACAGCCTGGCATTCTGAGGACATTCCTCTCTTTCAGATTTCCGCCTTGAAGCAGAATGGCCTCCTGCAGTCTCTGTCGGCGACTCCTAATGGATGCAGGGAAGCAGGTAGGATTCCATTTAACTGAAGGCTACACTTTGAGTCTTCTTGGTTTTCTGATGAGGGAGGGTGTCAAGGAATTGTAGGTCACATCCTGCTCGTTGGAGGGTCATTAAATAAATCAGTAATCAATTCTCTGTTCAGCCTGCTGAGAGCATTGTTCTCATTTTCCAGGGGAGCTTCTTCAGGTGCCAGACGGGGGGAGAGAAGGAAGGCCAGCTAGGCTTTCTCTCAGTGGAACAAAGCTCTCCTTTCTATATATCTCTCTCTGCTCTTGCCGGGCGGATGGAAGCAGCCACCCAGTGTGTGTTTGTGGCCTCCCAAATATTTTTGGACATTGGTACCCATGAGTCATAGCCAGCTTGGCCAGTGGCGAGGGATCATGGGAGTTGCAGTCCAACAGTATTGGTGGGGGAGTATAAATAAATAGCAGATGTGTAGTCTGTCTCAGGGTGATGTAGGACAGTGGTTCTTAACCTTGGTTACTCAGGTGTTTTTGAACTGCAACTCCCAGAAACCCCAGCCAGCACAGCTGGTGGTGACGGCTTCTGGGAGTTGCAGTCCAAAAACATCGGAGTAACAAAGGTTAAGAACCTGTGATGTAGGAGACCTCGAGCCGAATTCTCATCTCACCATGAAACTCTGTGTGTGACTTCTGGCCAGTTCAGTCTCTCAGCCTGACCTGCTTCAGAGAGCCATTCTCCATGGAAAGGGAGGAGAGAGAGGGAGAGAGAACTGTGTACAATGAACCTTGCAATGTAGCGTTAATAAATAATAAAAGTAATAAAGTAAATAATAAAAATGGTTCAGACCGATTTCTGTTTTGTAATGACAGCTTTCTGCCAATTTTGCCATGAAGTTTTGTTGGCCTCAAACATCTCAGTCATCACCGTAAGAGTCTGATTTCAGGTGAAAGCAAGGACCGGGTTAAATCAATTATTTTGTATTAAAGAATTAAACTGGCTACCCAAGTAGATTAATTGCTTATCTCCTTTCACTATTAGCAAAAGTAAGTATTTCAGAGAGTTACTAGAATGGTGGAACAGCCTTGACCGGCTGTTGCTCCTGGCTCAGGTAGCTAATCCTATCAGGCATAAAAGGGAAGTTGACATGGCTTCTCGCTGCTCTGTTGTCCCTGTGATGTAAGTGTCTTCCCAGGATCCTCTAATTAAAAGTACTTTCCATAGTGTCCCCCCCACACACATATGTAACCTACAAAGCTGATTCACCTGAGCTGCCATCGGGATTAGTAGCCACCCTCTGTGCTGAGAGCATCCTTCCCTGTTGAATAATTGCCAGGTCACTCTCAGTAGGAGAGGTTGCTCCTCTTGTCTTGTTCGATTTTCATCCTAGGTTGTTGTCATTGTTGTTGTCGTTTAGTCGTGTCCAACTCTTCATGACCCCATGGACCAGAGCATGCCAGGCCCTCCTGTCTTCCACTGCCTCCCGGAGTTTGGTCAAATTCATGTTGGTCACTTCGATGACACTGTCCAACCATCTCGTCCTCTGTTGTGCCCTTCTCCTGTTGCCCTCACACTTTCATCCTAGCTGGTTTCGTCCTCTGTTGTGCCCTTCTCCTGTTGCCCTCACACTTTCCCCTCACACTTTCATCCTAGCTGGTTTCATGTTTTTGGTTAGGTGAAGGAGTATGTGAGAGATAGGGACCCTGTGTCCCTCCAGATGTTGCTGGAGTGATGATGGGAATGTAGTTTGATGGGAGTTGTAGTTTGACAACGTCTGAAGGGCCATGGATCCCTCTCCATTGCCGTCTGTGTAGATGTTATTTAATTATATGCCATCAAGTTGGGACCAAGTTATAGCAACCCTAGTGGGGCTTTCAGAGATGTTTAAGGAGTGGTTTTACCAGCTCCACACCACCAGTGAGCTTCCATGGCTGAGCGGGGACTTGAACCCTGGTCTCCAGAGCCCTAGTCCATCGCTCTATCCACTACACCACACTGGGTGGCTGTCCATGTTACCTATGTTTCAATAGGCTGTCTCATAGCACAAAGTGATTCAGTGCTATTTCTGTACAAAGAAATTGTAGTTTAGAAAGGGAAAACACAGCCGGTAGATATTTTGGGAGATTCCACAAATATTAACATTTCCCATTTGTGATTTTATCATTTACTCAGTATCTCAGCACAAACAGACCGACTTATATTTGGCAGAAATGAAAATGAAATAGTTCCTCTTTTGTTGATGCAAAATGGTTTCTACCATGTCAGTACTTCACCTCTTGGTTAATATGTTCCCTAACTGTTTTTTTTTTTTTTTTTTTTTTTTGCTGGAGAGCATTCTGGCATATCAGAATCCAGGCATCTCTCAGCCTCAGCCTTTATTTTTTTTTACATTTGGCTGATTTCCCTGTGGTTTTTTAATACAGTAGTGAAATAGAGAGAGGGCATAACTGAACTAGAATTTTCAGCCTCGAATAAATAAAGCTGTCTACACTCAGAGTAGATAGCTTGCTCGAAAAGATAGTTAGAAAAGTTGTTCTATGTTTTCCCTCAAATGTTTTGCAGGGTGAGATGTTGAAAATGTTAGCTTGGAGTTGTTTATGGCTCCACAGATGTTGATGGCCAGCAGCTTTCCCTAGCCAAGACAGACGGCAGTGAGGAAAGAACCTGTGCCCCCAAGGCCCTTTTTGCAGCCCATGACTTCTCAGCTCTTCCCTGGAACCTTTCCCCATCCCCATCCCCCCCCCGCAAACCTGCAAGAGATGCAGCCCACTTATTAAGAAGGTTGCAACCCCCACTGCACTTAAATAGGTCCCCCAACATCCCAAAAATACAAATGTTTTAAACCAGAAATGGACTGCCAATCACTTCCAGTGTTGTTCTTTTGGGGGTTTAAGCACTTTTATAGTCTGTTTAGCCCCTTGGAGGATTTGGGGAGCAGAATATGACCCCCTGGAACAGCCAGAGCTGTGTATCCCTGACCACTTAGAGTTAGACAGTGGTGAGGGAGAATGGAAGCTCAAATCTGGCAACATTTGGAAGAAAACAATGGAATAGAAATCTACTTCGTCTTGAAAGTAGCTCACAGTAGTGATACTCCAGCAAGACTGTCTTCAGCATCAGTCCATCAACTCCTGTGGGGCAGGTGGTCTCAATTGGCCCTTTCCAACTGGAAATTGCCTTTCACAGTTGCCCTCCCAACCCCTTTTCTTTATATTTTTTAAATGTTCAGTTAACTTGATGTGTGAAAAAGACACACAGTCAATGAATAGTAAAACAACTGAAATTGTTGTTATTGTTATCACTGACAATGCTGATTTCTGAATCTCCTGCAGCTTGTGCTAAAATTCCTGTGTTTAAACATTCAGTTTGGCAGCCATGTTGGGCTCTGGTAGTCTTCCTTATTTCTTAAATGAGGACAACCTGGGCTTCTGAAGGAAATAAAGATACTCAATCAAATGGTATGACTGTGTGTGTTTTCTAGTTTATAGGTGTAGGGCTGGATTCTCCCAGCTTTCAGTCAGGCAGTGCTTAAACAGGAAACAGAACACCTTATTTGCAAGTATAGGACACCATAATAAGGTATAATAATTTGATTGACCAACAGCATTCAGTTACTTTTCTTGAACCTTTCCCTGAATGCTATATCTGAATGTTCTGTCTACATCACACCACCCTCTCAAAACAAATCATCTTCTCCTTTATTCTATACTCTCAGCAATCTGACTCCCTGGCTCGAACTGCCTCTCTTTTCCTTAACCTTCCTTGAACAGCATTCTGAAGGCTGTAATAGGCTGAGCCAAAGAGAGGACAGAGATCCGCCTTGTCCCTTTACAGTCCCACCTTTCTATTGCTTTGCATCACGAGAGTGCGCCGGGGTTCTAGAAGAATGCTTTGCAGCATACATCCATACTTTGTATGTGTAGGAGCAGGTGGAGAGGCCAATCAGGGTCTGGAAAAATTACATTTCAAGATTGGCTAGACTGGAGGGGGTCTGGGAATTGTAAACTGAAAAAGAAACTTTCCCCATCAACCAGAGAATGAGGTTTTGATTTGTTTTTTCTAAAGAAGAAAGTCAAGCAACTTGTTCTGGAAGTGATTCCACTGTTTACCATTAGCCATTTCATTCTTCTCTCCTTCTCGGTAGGTGTTAATACGGAGGTTCTACGAGCCAGAGAAGAATGGGATGCAGTGGCAAGTGTCCATCCAGGAGGTATGGATGCAACTGCAGGGATACTCGCTTTGTGTTTGGGACCAACTTGAAGGACAGATAAGAAAAGAGAACATGGTGGATGCTTTTGAACATCTGGAAACATGTTTATGAATTGCTGCATAGTGTCCAGAATCCAATTCCTCAAAGCGTAGCAGAATGTTATGCTGTTATAAATGCGCCAGGCAATCCCCTCCCCCCATTAGCAAGGATGGTGCAAGTCAATTGCTGATTAGTGGTGTGCGGTTCTTGTTTTGACCAGTTGTGCCATATGCTGTTGGAAGTGCTTCATGGATAGCACTTCCTCCTTGGTACAGCTACCTCAAATTATGCCCAACAGGATTCCAGCCATTTGGTGCTAAGTGTGTGGTTCAGTCTGCAAAATTTGACGTGATACACATATGCAGGGCTTGAAAAATGCACTCGTCCACTCATCTGTGACGAGTGAAAAATGCTGCTCAATGAGTCACAGCTCTCTCCCTCCCTGCCTCCTTCCCCTCTGCCTGTCTCTCTCTCTCTATCCCTGCAGTCCTCTCCTCCCCCTTCCCATTGCAAAAGGAAAACTGCCCTCTTGTGAGAAGAGAGTTTGAGTGGCTCATAGAGATATAGCGCTGCAGGAGAATGTAGAGTAGTCCCATGCTGGAAAATATGGAGATTCCCTGCTCCCAATTTCAATTAAATGAGGACATATCCTGGGGTGGGATGGAACCATGGCTCCTTAAGACGCCGGGTGCTTTTGCTTTTAGTTTTATTTTTGCTGGAGACATACAAAAGAAAGGCATTCGAAATACAAGCTTCATGCCCCCCCAGGCATGTAGATAATAAAGCAACCCAAGTCTGAGGGTATAAATCAGTGATTCCCAATCCCAATAAATAGCAACGTTCACTGGTGAAACTTTTGACTGACTGGTGAGACATTCTAAAATTTTTCAAGCCCTGCACATATGTATGTGTCACTTCAATTGTTCTTTTGAAGAAAATTAAATAATTTTTTTGTTGAATCCATTGCATAGCATTGTTAAGAATAGAAAGATATGGTAAATAATGGAATGTGAAGAGGGGGAAAATAAGTTTTTATGGTTTAAATGTTTAAAAATCAATTTTCTTGATTTAAACCAATTTAATTAAAATTATTGATTTTTATCCTGCTGTGTGGGCTGTGCTAGCATGTACTGACTATGTTGTGTGTTTGTGTGAACTACATGCTTCATATTTATAGCACTATACCATGTCTTGCAAAAAGAAAGTCTATTAAGAGGATAAGCCTTAAGAATTACATTGGAAATACTGCTGCCTTGTATCATTTCCTGTTCCTTTGAATGAACAGTGTTCAGTCTGCAGTATGTTGGATTCATTGCTCATTGCATGAAAATGTGTTGGAGGCAGGTTCATTTGTCAAAGTGTGCTGTACGATTACATAGATCAAGTCTTTCTGGTGTAGTACAAACCATCCCAGTTTGATCTATGTTACTGAGTGCAGAAGACATGCATCACATTGTTGGCAACTGCTGAGAAACTTTCTGTTCTGATCTTGAATGGGTTGAAGGTAGTAAGTGTAAATGGGTCTTGCCATTAAAATGGCATCATGGGGATTTGAAAAATTACTGAAGACTACTTAGCAAGAGAGCTTAAATATTCATGGGAATTCATCTTGCTTATTGGTGGAAGCTTGAAAACAGTGACAATTTGCTGGTCCAGCTTGTTGAAAGCAGGGAGATTTCTGCTTTACATGTTAGAAATTTATTGGAAGATTCTAACAGAACTTTAGCATTTAGGTAGACTTCTGCTTTTCATGAATAAAGGATTGCAGAGTTAAATGTGCTTTCCCTTTTTACTGCAGAATTAAAGATTGAGATGGAAGATCAAGGATTGCCACTTTAATGAGATTGAGGCATGATTTTCCATGCAAATTTCTGTACTTTAAATAGGAGGCCATGATCTGAAATTTCTCTGTGGCTGCGCTTAATTGTTATCCATCCATCCCACCCATCTAGTGCCAAGGGCACTACTCTGGGTGGCTAACATTTAAAAACAAAGCCACAGCTACCCAACCCCACTCACGAAGCCTAAATGGTGAGATCCAGAAAATCATTTAAACTCCAACTATCCAAAGAAAAAGAAACCTGGATGTCAAATCAAAACAATAACCACTTGTAGCAGCCTTCACAGATTGGCATGTCTTAGTGGGAGCAGCCTCTCGGAGATCATTGATTATTTGCTAAACAGGGATAACTTATTTTTCTGACACAGGGTGAGAGAGTACTGTAATTCTCTTTCCTCCTCCTCAAAAATATGCTCTCCTTGCAGCCTGATCCTCTCCGTTTTTATTCTATATTCACTCAGAAGTAAAAAGAGGACTCGTAGGTCGGACCAGAGGACTATTTAGTCTAGTTAGGTTTAGTGGTTCATCTTGGTATGAGCCATTTTGAATCTCAATCCTGGGTAAAAGGTGAGGTATAAGCCATGATAATATTAATACAGTGGTGCCTTGCAAGACAAATGTAATCCGTTCCGCGAGAAGCGCTGTCTTGTGAAAAAATTGTCTTGCGAGGTTCCCTATGGGAGCAAGACAAATTTATTTGTCCTGCGAGGCATCGGTCTCGAGGAAAAAAAAACCATCTAGCGAAGCATGGTCACAGAAGAAACCATCTTGCGAGGAACCATACAGATCGCGAAAAACAATCATTTTGCGTATTACATTACTTTGTCCACTATACCACACTACATGCCAGTTACAATATTATATATATTATAATAATTATATATGTAGTAGGACCTTCATATCGGTGGGAAATCGATTCCAAGAATCAGTCATTCTCCTCCCCATGCTAATTTCAGCAACTGGAGCTGTTCCTAAATCTTTGGTTGCTGATTTAAAACAATGGTCAATAGTTGCTAATTACTTTGTCCACTATACCACACTACATGCCAGTTACAATATTATATATATTATAATAATTATATATGTAGTAGGACCTTCATATCGGTGGGAAATCGATTCCAAGAATCAGTCATTCTCCTCCCCATGCTAATTTCAGCAACTGGAGCTGTTCCTAAATCTTTGGTTGCTGATTTAAAACAATGGTCAATAGTTGCTAATTTGCTTCCTGAAAAATAAAACCTGTGATTTAGTAAACATATCATCTCCCTAAAAAAGTTCTTAGGCCTTCGCTCCCAGCAATGCAGGAAATAAGAAATGCAATGTAATATTGCTGCTGCTGCAGTTTCCTACGACAGTTCCAGCAGCAAGATGGTGAGTTCAGGACCTGCCCCTGCTGTTACCCCCAGGAGCTGGCATTCGGATGCATGCCACCCATTTCTGGAAGTCGCATATGACGACTAGTGGAATTCAGCATGGTGTGGTGGATAGAGTGATGAATCTGGGGAACAGAGCTTGAAATCCCACTTTTCCATGGAAACTCATGAGGGATGTGAAAGCGGTAGAACCATTCTTTAAATATTCCACTTATTTACAAAGCCCTATTTGGGTTGCTATAACTTGGTTCCGACTTGACAACACATAACTAGTATTGGACTAGACTTGTCAGTTACCGTGTTACTTAACATTGAACCAGGTTTTAATATAGGGGTACCTAGTGTGCTGTAATGGATAGAGTAATGGAGTAGGACTCAGGAGGCCTGGATTCAAGTCCCTGCTCAGCCATAGAAGTTCACGGGGGGAAGGGGAGAGTAGAACTGTTTAAACCACTGTTGAATGTTAGTCTTGCTGTTTGGCTTCATTGGTTGACCCTGAGCTGTAGTATAAGGAGAAAGGGGAAAAACTCTCTCTCCATTTTCTCTGAGCTGTGTATACTGTTTGGCTTCATTGGTTGACCCTGAGCTCTAGTATAAGGAGAAAGGGCGAAAACTCTCCATTTTCTCTGAAATTTTTTTTATTTATTTATTGTCATTGTAACCCATACAATGAAATTCACAGACACCCAGAGACCAGACATATGCACACACATAACATTCCCCAAACACTCCCCACCCACTAAAAAATCCTCCAACACTCCCCACCCAATAAAAGGCCCCACTAAAAATACAAACATAGTCATGTGCCTCCATGTAGGCTGGTGGTTTTTTTTAAGTGGTGTCCAGCAGGGATAATTCCTAAATACCAGGGCATAGGATTGGAGGCTTGGGTAAAGATGATTAATTAAAGGTAGAAGAAAACTATTGGGATGATTGTAGCACATGTGATTATGCAGTGTTTCCTGTCAGAATGAGTCAATCTCATGTTGATGAGTAGGGAGGTGAAATTTAACTGTTACACTCCCCAACACCCATAAAGCTGGCTTTGCATTGTAAGGGCTACTGTGTCTGTGGATGACACCCACCCACAGTGCCAAGACCGTTCAAGCTTTTTGGGGGCATTGTAAAAAGTGACTGAGCAAGGGACGAGGGAAAGTTAAATCTGCACTCCCAGTAACCACAGGCTGCTTTAGCTTTCCTATAGCTATTTGTGGAATAATAACAACAAAAGCATTCTGATCGTTGCAGTTTTATTTTCTTCTCCTTTAATTGCTCCCCGAAGAGTTTGCCATTACAGCTTTAAGATCAGTTCTATAGGTAGTCAATTCCAACCCCATCTGTGTGTCTCAATGGGTGGCAGGGGTTCATTACATTCGTTCTATATGTTTTATTTATTTTATTATTTTAAATATGCCCTTCATTCATATAGGTACCAGAGTAGAATAGAAACACAACTGAAACAAGTATGGTGACATATATGTGCATTTATATATTACCTGAAAGAAAGTATTGTTTTTGGTATCAGTATGGAAAGGGGTCAAGGAATCAACTTGACAGCACACAGTCATTATTTATTATATGTGTCTTTACACTGAATCTTATTACCTCTTTTGTTGCTCATACACAAAGTGATGGTACTGAACATCATCATTTAAGGGAGATATGACAGCACTTTTCAAATACTTGAAAGGCTGTCATACATAGGAGGAGCAGGATCTGTTCTCTACCATCCCAGAGTGCAGGGTGCATAATAATGAGCTCAAGATACAGGAAGCTAGATGTAGGCTGAATATCAGGAAAACCTTTTTAACTGCTAGAGCAGTAGGATAATGGAACCAATTACCTCTGGAGATGGTGAGCGCTCCAACGCTGGAGGCGTTCAAGAGAAAATTGGACAACCATGTGCCAGATATATTTTGATTTGTATTCCTACATTGAGCAGAGGGTTGGACTTGATGGCCTTAAGAGCCCCTTCCAACATTATGATTCTGTGGTTTAGTGTTGTCAGCAAAGATGTCTATTTAAGTCCTGCTCCCTTGCCCAAGAACTGCTTTCGTGGTCTGCCCTAAATCTCTCTGTTTGTTTGTTTGTTTGTTTGCTTTATTTGCTTGAGCAAATAAACATAGCCCAAATTCCAGTGTAGCATTTTAAAAACAGATTGTGTTGGTGTCTTAACACTTTGAATGATAATGTTCCACGTTGTCTTTTGAATTTATCAAGGAGAATGATGGGAAGGGGGGAAAATGCTCTTTTTCTTCTTTCTTCCCAACTGTAGGCATTGTGGAGAAGCCTCTTGGCCCCATACCTTTAATCTCTTTCAATGAAGCACTGCAGTATTTCCAGACAGCAGATCTCTCAGACTGCAGGGTATGTATGTGCCAACTAGGATTGATTTAACAGTCATACTGCTTAAGTATTTTAGGCATGGAAAATGCTGCCTTAACACTTCCTGCTTGGTCTTCAGAGCACTTCAAAGTAAGTACTTTTATTCCTATTTCATTTTGAAAGCGGGAGGAAAATTGATTGGAGCCAGTAGGTGGAGCCTCTGTCATTTAGCCTTTTCTCTCCCGGCCCTTCTTCCTTCTTGCTAAGGAAAGGATAAGACTGCAAGGCCGGGGCTGAGGACCTGAGGACCTTGAATTTTCTTCCACCTGATAAATAGCTACTGCTCCCATCTGCTTGCAACATACCCTATTGCAAACAGCTTCTTGCTGGTCCAACTTTAAAGCCAACCTGTCCAAAATTGCAGCAGCCTCATCCCATGCAAAACTGTCAGATGCCTGATTCATAATTCCTAGTGTGCCTTTTTCCACAGCTGTGTTCTTGATTTGAACTGACTTTTTTTTCTGTCATGCAACCAATGTCTTTTTTAGGAATCTCTGCACTGTTACTTTTCACTGGTCATTCTTCTTCCACACGAGCAAGGCTTGTGTAGAATTCACCCACTTATGCTGCCTGAGCGCTTCCAGGACAAGTTTTCTAGAGTTTGTTCAACGAGGGTTGAACTAACTTGGATGTAGTATCCCTTTCTTTGTTGCAGGAACATGAGTATAATGTGAAGTCTGACTGCATGTTCAAGGCAGTCCCATCTGCTCCCAACCCCCCTTTCCCATCAGCCTTGAAACAGCTCTTGCCCTCAAGGCGTGCAATCTTCCCATTCAAACAGTGCACTCATTCCCTCTTCCATGTGCTTGCAACCATGTTTTGGCTTCCATTCCATTTTCTCAGTGATGCTGCACACACCTCCATTCTTTTAATTTTCCTTCTTCCAGAAAAGGATTCAGCCAACAGTGCAAAGGAGAGGACTGGCTGCCATCACCCATTTCTTATTTGGCCCTCCCCGTCTTCATCAGCAGCTGCAAAGTGAGAGAGACTTAGCCTTGGCAATAGCCCAGTGTGAGTATTGTTTCCTACAGCAAAGGCAGCCATCATCTCTGTCTTGATTGCAATCTGCTTGATATGGCCATGTCTTGAAACCTTTGGAAGGGTTGCGCATGATCTCAGTAGCCCAGCACATACTTTATATGCTGAAGGCTCCAGGTTCAATCCTTGGCCATCTGCAAATAGGGCTGGAAAATGTTCCTTTCTAATAAGATGGAGAGGTCATTGCACCTCACTAGGTAGCTACCGCCCGACTTAAGCTGGGCAGCCCCCAGCCAGTAAGGTGCTGCTTTGCCACAGTCTATTAGCCTCATGGGGTGCGTGGGGTTTAGGGTGAAAGCCGACAAGCAGATCAGTAACCCTGCACCATGCAATAATCATAAGAAAACTTCTGCCCTAAAGTTGGGCACCTGGAATGTTCAGACAATTACCCCTGGCTTTTCTGATGAACTGCAGGAAATAGGCGACACATGCAAGACAGCTATCATTGACATGGAACTGAGTAGGCTGCAGATGGATATTGTTGCTCTGCAAGAAACAAGATAGCCAGAGTTGGACTCTGTCAAAGAAAAAAAAATTCTCATTCTTCTGGCAGGGAAAACTATTGAATGAGACCAGGGAATATGGTGTTGGCTTTGCGGTTAGAAATACTCTGCTGAGATCCATTGTTCCAGCTACTGTGGGGGGTGAAAGAATCCTGTCTTTGCAGCTCCACTCATCAGCAGGACCGGTCAGCCTCATTAGTGCATATGCACCAACACTGTCGTCCACAACAGAAATCAAAGACAAATTCTATCATGATCTGGCAGCTACTATCAAAAAAATCCCCGAGAGAGAGCTGCTGTTCATTCTCTGAGACCAACGCTAGAGTTGGTACTGATCACAGTTCTAGGCCCAATTGTCTGGGCTGTTTTGGCATTGGGAATATGAACAAAAATGGCCAACGCTGTTTTGCTATTACGTATTATGGTCTCTATGTCAGCATAGTCTCTTGTAGACATCCCAAATTGAAGCATTGGTCAGCTCAATTTGATCCTCACTAGACGCTCTAGCCTTCCTAATATTATGTTCACACACAGTTATCAGGGTGCTGATTGCGATACTGATCACTCCCTGGTGTGTAGTAGAGGAAAAATGTGAATAAAGAGGTTGTATCACACGAAAAAGGAAGGAATACCATGTATTGACATCAGCGAAACCTGCGATCAGAGAAAAGTAGAGGAATTTGCCAATACGCTTGAGGAAACTCTTCCAGGCCTGGCTGTTGCAAAGGCACTGAACATTTCAAGAACATTGTTTGTAACACCATCTTGTCCACATTTGGCAAGAAGACCAAAAAGATGGCAGACTGGTTTGAAGCCCATTCAGAGGAGTTAATGCCAGCCATCGAGGTTAAGAGGAGAGCTCTAGCAGCATACAGAGCCTGTCCTAGTGAGTACAACTTTCAGGTTCTTCGAGTTGCTTGTAGCAAAGTCCAACAGACTGCCAGGAGATGTTCTAGCGATTATTGGCTTCAGCTCTGCTCTCAGATACAGACAGCAGCAGACACAGGTAACATCAAGGGAATGTATGATGGTATCAAGCAGGCTTTAGATCCAATACAGAAGAAATCTGCTCCTTTGGAGTCTGTTACAAACGTGATCCTCCAGGACCGAGCACAGCAAATGGAACGCTGGGTGCAGCATTAATCTGAGCTATATTCCAGAGAGAATGTAGTAACCTAAGACGCACTAAATAATATTGAGTGTTTGCCTGTTTTGGAAGAGTTGCACAGCGAACCAACTTTAGCAGAAATAAAAGGGGCCTTGGATTCCCTCAAGGCACCTGGGAAGGATAACATCCCTGCTGAAATGCTGTAAAGAGATAATCACCACTGAGCTGTGTGAAATCTTCTGTCTTTGCTGGAAGGAAGGTGGAGAACCACAGGACATGAAGGATACAAACATCATCACATTGTACAAGAACATAGGTGACGGGGCAACTGCAATAACTACTGTGACATCTCTCTTCTCAGCGTTGTAGGGAAGCTGCTTGCCTGTGTTGTGCTCAAGAGGCTCCAGGTGCTTGCAGACAGAGTCTATCCAGAATCACAGTGTGGATTTCGTGCTAATAGATCCACCATTGACATGGTATTTTCCCTCAGACAGTTGCAGGAGAAATGTAGGGAACAACAACAGCCACTCTTCGTGGCCTTCATAGATCTTACAAAGGCCTTTGATTTGGTTAGCAGGGACGACTTTTTTAAAATACTTACCAAGACTGGATGTCCTCCTCGACTCCTTAACATCATCAGGTCCTTTCATGAGGGAATGAAGGGCACTGTAGTTTTTGATGGCTCAACGTCAGATCCCTTTGACATCTGAAGCAGAGTGAAACAGGGCTGTGTCCTCGCGCTGACTCTGTTTGGGATCTTTTTTGCTGTCATGCTGAAGCATGGTTTTGGAACTGCAACAGAAGATGTCTATCTCCTGACTAGATCAGATGGAAAGCTCTTTTAATCTCTAGATTGAGAGCGAAGACCCAAGTCCAGCTGAAATGCATGAGGGAGTTCCTCTCCGCTGATGATACAGCTGTTGTTGCCCATTCTGCTGAAGAGCTCCAAGAACTTATGAACCGTTTTAGTAAGGCCTGCAAAGATTTTGGATTAACAATCACCCTGAAGAAAACACAAGTCATGGGCCAGGGCATGGACTCTCTTCCCTGTATTACCATCTCTACACAAGAACTGGAGATTGCTCATGATTTCATGTACCTTGGCTCAACGATCTCTGACACTCTCTAGATGTTGAGCTGGATAAACACATTGGCAAAGCAGCTGCCATGTTCTCTAGACTCACAAAGAGAGTATGGCTTAATAAGAAGCTGACGGCATATACCAAGATCCAGGTCTATAGAGCCTGTGTCCTGAGCACACTCCTGCACTGTAGTGAGTCCTGGAACCCCTGCGCATGGCAGAAGAAGTAGAACATGTTCCATATGCATTATCTCCGATGCATTTTTGCCAGTAGAAGGTTCCAAATAGAGTAGTCTTAGAACAAGAATTTTTAGCATGTATACACTACTGAAACAGCAACATCTACATTGGCTCGGGCATGTCATGAGAACGGCTGACAGTCGAATTCCAAAAGATCTCCTGTGTGAAGAATTAGTGCAGGGAAAGCGCCCCAGAGGGAGACTACAGCTGTGATACAAGGAGATCTGCAAGCAGGATCTGAAGGTCTTATGAATGGACCTAAACAGATGGAAAGGTTTGACATCTGAGCATTCAGCCTGGAGGCAGGCGGTGCATCATGACCTCTCCCAATTTGAAGAGACACTTGTTCAGCAGGCCAAGGCAAAAAGGCAGTCCTGAAACCAGCAAAATCAGGGAGCTGGACAGGGGACAGATTGTATTTGTCTTCAGTGTGAAAGGGATTGTCACTCTCGAATTGGCCTTCTGAACCACACTAGATGCTGTTCCAAGACCTCTGTTCAGAGCATGTTATCATAGTCTCTCAAGACTGAAGGATGCCTACATGGACGGAATAATATGGAAATATTTTTTCAGGAGTCTGACTCAGTATAAGACAGTGTCATACGTTCTAATAGAGAAATGTTAATTTCTTCTGCCATGGAGGAGGCTGAATTAGATCAAAGGGCTATTACCAACCTCAGAAGGTGAACTGTTCGGAAAGAGGTGCAGGTTTCAGAAATTTTGTCACTTCAGAAACTGATTCACCTTTTTGAGGTTGAGGTTGGGTCTCCAATCTAAATTATCCTCCCTCCACTGGAGAAAAAGAAGCTTCACAGTAAGTATCACTTTTGTTTTGCACTACTGCTCATAATGGGCAAGAAATGAAATGGCCAATAGCTGTGGTGACTGGGAGATTCAGAGAGCTGTGATCCAAAAAAAAAAAAAAAGCATTCCCAAGATCCAGCAAAGATGTAGCATGCTTTTTTTTATGAGCGTCTTTTTAAGAGCTCAATTACTATCTGCTTTGAATGGCGATATCCTCCTTATGATTTAAGCAGAGGGTTTCTCTCTCTTTTTCTCTCTCTGTTGTTCAAAATCTTTGAGCAGACATAGGATTAAATTTGGTCTTTTCACATTCAACAATCATACACTTATCCTCAGTTGCAGGAAGGAAGTAATCAGTGTTTCCTTGTACAGGTGGCTTGGATAACAATGAAAAAGTGCACATGCGAATCCTGCAAACCATCTACAAGAAATTAACAGGTTCCCGATTTGATTGTGCCCGTTATGGACCCCACTGGGAAGACCTGGGATTCCAAGGTATGGGAAGAGGAGGAGAACTACATTCTGCAAACGAGTGCTTACCTGGTGGTGAGATCTCCTTTTTGAGCATTTGGTGGAGGAAGTGGGTACCCTTTTGTGTGTCTTAATAATCCATGCTTCAATATATGAAATCTGGCTCTGAGGACTCTACAGCCCATGCTGCTGAGCTGTGCTTGAGTAGGGGTCACTGCAGATCAAGGATCCCAGCGATTGTGGATCGTTTGTGTTTGAGGGGGGAGTGTTGGAGGAGATGACCAAATATGCAGAGTTGGCTCACTCTGCCCCTGTAAGTGGGGAACAACTAGTGGCCTCCAGGTATTGTTCAGCTTCCATCAGTCCTAATCAGCATAGCTAGTAGTGAGGGCTGATGGAAATTGCAGCCCAATAACATTCTGAGGACCACCAGTTGCCCTCCCCAACTGTAAGTCCTGTGCAGGGTTTGGAGTTGCTTCCCCATCTACCATGCTTGGCAAAATTCAGGCACATGAGATTAACTTCGGTATATTTACTAGAACTTTGTATTCCACCAACAGGAGCCTGATGCAAAAAACATGTAGTTGGAATTAAAATATTCCGAGCCTAGCTATTTATTTGGAGTCGTGGAACTGAAGAAAGCTTTCAGTTCTCCCATCCAGAAATCCATTCCATCCCTTTAAAATCCATTTATGGTACCTTAATCAGTTTCAGCAGTATACTTTGGGCCAAAAGGGGATTGTGTGCTCCTGCTATGTGAAATAATGCATAGTCAGAAATCCTTCCTGTTCTCTATAAGTCACTGATCTATCACCGGAGCCTCTGCCCGCTCTTTCACAAGAGGATGCATCAGTGTCACAGGTGCCCCTTGCTTCTACTGTAACACCTGGAAAGGGAGCATGATTTTCCCCTATGGGAAGAGCTGTGCACTTGCTCACATCTGGCACTCCATATTTACTCAAAGGAGAGAGAGAGTTGATTTTTCTCTTGGTGAATTATCGCAGAAGTGGGGGGGGGGGGAAGTAGCTTGCACTTCTTTGTTTTGTATTTTCCATGAATCTCCTGGGCAGGAGAATGCTGAAGCAAAACAGTTCGTTAGCATGCTTCTTGTCATTTGAATTCTGAATATTTGGCCTTTTGATAGTTATTTTTACATGTCTGATTCCACAGATGGTTACTGGTTTGTAATTTGTAAGAATTTTTTTTGTGTGTTTAATATTTTAAAACCTTACCTTGAGAAACGAACATTAGTTTGCTCTATTTTAAAAATGGATATTAAAAATTCAAGAATTTATACTGAATAATAAGAGCAACCCGAGCAAACCAAAACAAAGCAGTCAATAAAAACAGCAATAAGAATGATAAAAGCAGAAAAAGCGTGCATGCATGTATAAGTACATAAAAAATACATAGCTTTGTCTAAGAAGAGTAGCCGCCCGTTCAGTGTCCCTGTGCAGAGCTTTCCAGAAGCAGGACACTGTTACCCCAAAACATCAATCTGTTGTTTGCCTTCCCTCCGCCACAGGCGGGCCAGTAATGTGGCCCCAGCCAGTCTTGGGGGGCTGCACCAGGCCCAGAAATGAACCGAAATGGTGCCGAAACAAAGTAGGATGTGACTGGAGACCCACTTTCCATTTTGATTTTGAGGATGGGGCAGAATGAACTTGGTAGCCACTGAGACTTAGAGTAAAAACCAGTACTCCTAGCCTCAGGAGTTCCTCCCCCCCCCATGGTCTTTGTTTGGCCTAGGGAAGCGTTTGGGCCCCCCAAACAGACTGGGGCTGCACTTAGCCTAAAAGGTTCAAGACTTCAGAGAAGAGCACTGTTGCTTAAAGGGCAAACAGGTCGTCCAAAATGCGGCTTAGTTTGGATCACCGTGAGCTCTGCAGCTGAGGCTGGAAGACTTCGCTTTGGACTTTGGACTGACATTTTCCTCTGTTTTTCACTTTTGGAGGCAGTTGGGCATACATGCATAACGGGAAGATGTATTTTGTGCTCCCAGGGGATAGCGATAAGCTTCTATCGAGTAGTTTGGCTTGGCAATTAACAGCCCTCTAATGTAACATTACATAGGCAGTAATTCACAAATATGCCCAGCATGAGAGCACTGACTGGTCTGGTTTAACCGTCTTTGTGTGTTTTATACTTAGGGACAGATCCTGGCACAGACCTACGTGGGACTGGATTGCTAGGATTAATGCAAACTTTATATTTTGTAATGGATTCTCGGATATTACCTGTAGCTCGAGAAATTTTCAAGCTGTCCCATCATGAAACACAGGCACGTTTCCTCCTTCTCTTCAGCTCTAGTTCTGGATTTTTAAAATATTATTATTGCAAGCTTATGGGAAATACAAGTTTGGCAGCCTACTATCTTGTTTTTTTAACTTTGACCACAATGCAACCGCTTAGTCAACTAGAATAACCCAATTGAATCAATGCGGAGTGGTAAATCAACATTTATACAAATGACATTGATCAAATGCCTTTTCTAGTTGGGACTAGTAAATGGATTTAGGCCTTTATGTTTAAATTGTGAGCTACATCTGTCTATTGAAAAGATTTTAGCCAGCCAATTCCTGCCCCTAGTTTGTACTGTATTCTGGGAGTGAGAGCACAATCAGATGGGGATTTGTCCTTCTGTTTGGTCTGCTATGGAGACAGATTGGTTCACTCTTTTTTCTGGTGAGCACACAGTGTAATCGTTGGAGCAAACTAAACCATCCCTGAAGCAGTCCAACTCCCATCTTTCCGAGTCCCTGTTAGAATGGTTGTTCTGGGTTTTTTGGGCTCTTTGGCCGTGTTCCAAAAAACCCAGAACAACCATTAGATCCCGGCCGTGAAAGCCTTTGTGAATATATCCTGTTAGGAGCTTCTCCTTTTTTAAAATAAGGGTAGTGTCACTCTGTTTTGGTCCATTTTCAGCATGTGTGATCACTGGGAATGGATCAAAAGCAAGATTTCCTATTTGTCAAGGCTTCTTCTGATTAGAATTTCTGATATTGTGAAACGGCTTAATAAGCAAGCCACTTGACGATATTGGAAAAATCAAACACTTCCTCTGCTCCATGGCAGAGGGCAGGGAAAATGATTTTTTTAAAAAAGACTCTGGTAATCACTTAAGAAAGAAGGAAAGAAAGAAAGATTATTTTGTTCGGTTTCTTCTAAAGGACTTGTCAAGAAAATGCCTGCAGTAGACCACCAGAGTCTCAAAAGAAGTTTCACTTCCCCTGCCTCTCCACCGAGGAGCACAGGCATTGGTATTAAAGATGGAATCAAGATTAGTTTATAAGGTATTTGCTGACAGTATCTCATTAACAATTTTAAATCTCCACCGAGGAGCACAGCAAGTGTTCAATTTGCTGATATCCTGAAGTTGTTTGCTTATTGCAATATTGGAAGGAGCCGAACCAAATAGGTTTCCTTGTGCTATGCCATCAAGAAAATGCCTGCAGTAGACCACCAGAGTCTCAAAAGAAGTTTCACTTTCCCTGCCTCTCCACCGAGAAGCACAGCAAGTGTTCAATTTTCTGATATCCTGAAGTCGCTTGCTTATTACAATATTGGAAGGAGCTGAGCCAAATAGCTTTCCTTGAACTTTGCTATGCCATTTGGATGCAAGGATTGCACTAAATGGCATATCGCACCTCCACCTGACCCCATGCGGGCCTGTTTAGCCCACCCAGTCAAGCCTTAACTCATCCAGAGGTTTCCCCCATATGCTTTTGTATCCTTTAGCTGCTACAGAAGTTTTGTTTCTCTCCATATTGTTTTTATCAACCTGTTGGGAGACAGGTAGACTTTCTTCCTCTAATAATTATGTGTTTAAGTCTCACTGTACAACTAGCTCATTTTCTCTCTGTATGCAATGCAGATTTATTAGCCATCAGCTTAGACTATTGCTTTACTGACATCAGCATCATGGCTATGTGGCTTTACTGAACTATTGCTTTACTGACATCAGCATCATGACTATGTGGCTTTACTGAATTTAAGTAATTCCAGCTCCCTTTTTCCTGACCTGCTTTTTTAATACCTTTGCATGAGGAAGTGACAGAAAGTTTGCACAGATAATTTTGCACTTTTTCTCTTGGCCTGTTGAGGGCATTACTGCAGCTTCCATTTTGGAATTTGTTTTCTGATCACATTATAACTATCTGTGCACCTTGTCTCAGGTCACTCTTTGTTGAAATTATTGGCTTCTCTCAGAAGAAATGGCAAGTTATACTTTGCTGTTGTGGGTTCAAGTAACAGAACTTTGTACATTACCCTCATACTTTCTGTATTCCTCGTTGGTTGAGATGAGAAGCTTCCATGGTGAATTTCTGCAAGAAATAGTTTGCTGGCCTGAGACATAACAATAAACAAGCATTTGCTACAAACCAGGGTTAGGTGCTTCTAATCCCGTCTCAAGCATGGGATGCCATATGCCTCTTGGGGGAGTTCTCCAGCAGAGATGAACCTGACACTCCAGAGCCCAGTAGAACAGAAGAACTGCCCAATCCCACAGGCCAGGGACACTTAGAGAGCCAGGAGTGAGCCTTTGGGTGATCAAAGGGCTTGAAGACTAAGGAGGGGAAAGACACCCCACCCCAGTGAATGGGAACAGAAAAGGCCAACTGAAGACCCTAGGCAAAGTGCTCGGCTGTGGGGAAGAACTTCTTGAGAGAAGGAGTCTCCTCAAAATTAGGCACTTCTTCCAGAAAGGACAAACTCTTTGGCTGAGTCTTTCCACCACTACCCTGACACCTACAGCTGAGTGCTGGAAGGGCTCCATTGGGACTGGAAGCTACTAAGACAACGTGTTTGTTGTTGCTGCAATTTTGTCCTATATGTCCGGACTCCTATTTCCAGTCCCTCAACCATATTTGGCTACTGGACTGTTGGCCTATGTCCTTGGACTCTCTTTGTAGATATGGTGGCAGATATTATCTCGATTTTGATGTTGAGACTAATATCAGAGCGGCACTTTGGATCGTCCTGCTGTGGTTTTCTGCTGCAGTGAGCCACTCAGTACTTGCCCGTGCTGCCTTGCTTTCTCCTTCACTTGGGGTTTCCTCAACCAGGAGCCATGATGGTCTTGCTCAGCAAAGAACAGGCCATGAGGGGGATAATGAATGGGAGAAGGCAAAGGGCTTAACGACTGCTTGCAACAACAAATTATGCATTTCTTTCAGAATGCAGAGATTTTTTTCTTTCTATCGTCTGCTCTGTTTCTTAATAAGAACTACTGTATGTGATACCAAGTCAATTCTGATCTATAGTGACCCTCTCCAAGATTTTTCTGGACACAAAGAACTCAGAAGTGGTTTGCCATTCTCTTGTTCTTGGGGACTGTGCAGTCTGCCTGGGGGAGACTGGGGGGGGAATCAAACTTCTAATCTCTGCCTTCACAACCAGGTACCCAAGTCCCTGAGCTGTCTGACCAACTGCTTTCATTCAGAAGCTTGAACTTTGGTTGGTTATTTCAGGAGGAATGTTGTCCGGTCTGTCTTGTGGGAAAGAGGACAGGACTCTGCTCTATACCTTTAGAAATGTCAGACCTACTGAGATTCTGTCTTCCACACAACTGTTAAAGATATGCAACTCTCTCCTATATTTCATTATTTAAACTGTACTCCTGCTGTTTCACCAGTGTCCCTTCCTGGCCCCTTTGCTAACCATTTGCCTTATATTTTAGACAGGGTGGCATTCTTTCTTTTGAAGGCTGTATCTCTTGTGAGTGTGAGGGGGAAGTTTTTGAAGGTGACAGGAGAGTGTACAGCCAGCTGTGCGTGGGCACAGAGACAAAAGAACAGTGTCCCCCTTTGTATATGTAAAGATGCTCACTTGGTTATTCACACATACCCTTTTTGGCCACTCACTGTTCTCTCATTCTCCCTATTCAATAGGCTACCAAGGAAAAGTTGCTATTGCCAGAAATGAATCTGATGGAATGCAGAAGGTTTTTGAAAGTAGGGCCAGGGCATTGGGTGTCTGCCTTTTTTAGATACCACAAATGAATCAATGCCTGAGAAAGCACAATGCTTTCGAGCATTCACCAAAGGCATCCTTGTTTGAACTGTTTACTTGTCCAGGATTGAGTCCACCATTGGAGAGTATGTATTTAACATTTTTGAAGGACATGGCATGGCTTTGAGCTTTGTGCTTTTTTCTTTTGATTGAAATTTTGGACACCGAGCTTAACATGTAAGACAGGCCTTAGTGGAATTTAAATACAAAGCTGGTCCTTTCATAGAGGATTAGTATCTAAAAAGTAAAGATATTTATGCTGTAAAGATGACTTCACTTTAGTTTGTTTCTTTGTTTGATCCTGAATCCAGACTAAGATTATTTAATTTAGTTCCTACTGAAATTAATAGAATTTAGAGCAGCTAGTTGAAGGACCTCTTCTGGAATGCATGCCTTAATGTTGTAAGGCTTGTGGGTTGCCCAAAGATGAATAGTCAAAACTGAGAAATCAGACACATAGTCATCTTTCCTCTTCAAGCATTAACAATCACAACAACAGGAAAGCAAAGAATGACTGTGAATAGCGTTCTCTCATGAAGCAACTGGATTAAATGTATTTGCGAAGGTTTTCACGGCCGGGATTTAATGGTTGTTATGGGTTTTTTGGGCTCTTTGGCCGTGTTCTTTTTTTTTTAAATAAATTTATTTTTAAACTATTAAGGATAGAGTAGGGAATACAGAAGGTAAAAGGAAGTGGAAGGGATGGAAAAAGGGTTTTGAGAATAAGAGATCACAAAGTATATAATCATCCAATATTTTCATATTAAGTATACAAGCATGTAATCTATTTTCCAATAAAAGCTCAACTTTCTACTTTTTTTAACTGTTTGATTACTCCCTAGCTTTCAACTTGCAATTATGTTATGATTTGAATCTAAGTTATTCCGACACTATCAGGAAACTGAGACCAATTGTAAAATACATCCCCTCTTTCAATTTCCTTTTGTCTTAGACATACATTCAGCAGGCCTGAAAGAGTATACATTTCAATCCCTTCTCCTATTTTCTCAACATGCTTCTTTTGTTTCTGTGACTCTATTTTCTTCCATTTTTGAGAGGGAAGGACAGATCCAGAATTTCTGACTGTTGTAGCTACATAGCTTACTGGGTAACACTTAATCCCCTTTATATTGCCTGGCATCACACTCAATACACACAGTTCTGGAGTTTCCTTTAGCTGTAGTTTAATATCTGATGTTTTCTCTTCCATTAAATCTTCTACTAAGTCTTCAATCTGGCTGAGACGCTCATTTACCTGCTTAAATCCTG